GGCAATGTCAATGTGAAAATTTATTTTTAGGTTCCACTACAAATGAAGTCAGGAAAAACTAGAACAGTTTGGGGAAAATCCAATTTTGAAACTTTCTAATCAGAATTTTGTTAGCTATCTAAATGAAACACCCGATATTTATGTAACATGCGGTGGACCTTTTTGGCTACTCAAAATATCAGCTGTTTTTCCCATAACATTTCCACCAACTTTAGGATTTATAGGGCACGGCACCGTTATCACCCATATACAGGGTGTTGCAGGATTCGTATTACCCTTTTCAGAATCCAAACATTACTTGCTACCATGTGGACGATGTTTTTTTTTCCTTGGCCAACATGCACCAGTTGCCCATGTCAAAGCTTTGTGGGATAAATTCAGGGTCTAATTCATCATCTAAAAATATGACTGAAAGTTCATATAGACATGGGTTGGAAAACCCGTTGAAACAACATTTTCTGAATAAAATTATGTTACTATCCCATTCAACAAACGTGAATTAACATAGAACATTTTTAAATGTTGAATCTACCCCTAACTTCATCATATATTTTCCACGCAAATCTGGCAAAATAAGCTGATAGAAATTGGAAGTGGTTCACTGTAAATTTTCGACTTAACCCTCAAGGTATCGCATTCAGATAAAAAACAAGTTCAGTTTCGAACGTATCGTTCTCTTTTTGGGAACTAAATTATATTAAGGAATCCCCCACAAAGGGTCTTGTGGGACAATTGCTCACCATTCCTTGAGTTTACGAATGATATCTGTTTCCATGTCATAAATTATATTTTTCCTGGATCTTCTTGTTCTACAAACATTTCAAGATGGCTCTAAACGAAGCTAAAGGAAAACGAACATATCAACCATTGACTACTATATGTATAAATAGTTGATACTTTTCACCTTAAAAAACCATTGAATAAAAAAATCCGCATATCTCCCTATATCATGAATTACTGATAAATGGCAAATAATACTATTTCTTATATGAGTTGTTGGTAACGATACCAAGAGAATTAGATCAAAATATTTTGACAATAGCAGCTCCTGCAAAATCTCGAAGAATGAGTATGTATTACTGTCAATGGATATATAAGGAATGGGCTATTTAGTATGGTTACAATGATGCAATAAAGGAGACAGAGGTACCTTTCATAGCACATTTAAACATTTTCCCACAGATTTTACGTGAATGACATTTGCTTGAAACGCTTGTTTAGCACACGTGATATTATGCTTTGACTACATGTGATGAAGCTTTTACTTTTGCCTCTTCTAATTCAAATATCCAATACCGGTTTCCATTACTCCATCTCGTATTTGAATACCATCGAAGTGGCTACCACGATGGTATTTTATATCCTTATATTTTACCGTATTACGCCCGTTTATTCCCTCAACATGAGAAGCATTACTCCTCGAACAAAGACATAAATCTTCTTGTTCGTGCAAACACATATGGAAAGCGGAGGTATTGAAGTGGGAAACATACCAAAGTCTCGATCGCCGCAATAAGGTATACAGAATACACACAGTAGGGTCACTCGAGTATCACACCAGCTTCTTCTTATGTCCTCAAGACAGCTAAAGAGCTAGCCATTGGACGAATAGGATATGTCTGCTTTTCGTCTCTACGACTGTCACCAACAGTATACAACGTTGTTTCAAGTCTACTGGAGATTTTAGCTCAGTATTGTGATGTGCGAAAAAAGCATGGTGTGCACTTAGTATGTCAAACAAATTTCTGAAAATAATAAGGGACATTAAAAACGCCAAAAAAAGCATTTTTTTTCGTTTTTTGGCTTGTTGTTCCGCCGCCACTGAGCCGTTTTTCAAAAGCTTAAAAGTTTTTCCGTCCTCGGCGTTGCAGTAACCCAGTGTGAAATTTGAATTTCATCCAAATTCGGGCAATATTCTAAATTATAGACGAGCCAGGGAATAGCGGACAGGCAGACAGACCAATGGAAATGAGTGACAGTTTTTCGTGATGCATGTCATTTAACATCCAAAAAAAACATATCTCATTTTCAAAAGCTTTGCCAGTGGCGGAGAAAGTAAGAAACATAAATCTATGCATTTACCTTTATTTCTACCATAACAATATTCATGTATACACAAGTTAAACTTATCTATAGTCTGGTAACAAAACGGCAAGGAGTAGCATGACAGAACGCATGCCGCTTCAAAAGCGCGCCGCGCTGGCAGTACCGTAAGGTATGTTATGCGGCTCTCTTCCATTTTGGTACCTAAGTATAGCCCACCTGATTTAAGTTCAATACCAATGACAAAACACTGCATTTGCTTTAACCAAAAATTTGTGAGTACCTGTAAAGCGTGATAATTCAAATAATTAATGGGAGTTTTGATCAGTAGATCTGACAACAGTGCTCTAAAAATACCCCAACATATCTTGAGAAAGTTACCCTTGAGTCTGAAAATAAAAGCCTTTACGTTGAATGAATGAAAACACGAAATTAGAGGCATACCGGTCACCATAAGGAGCCAGCGCATAGGCCACTGAGACCTCACACCTCGCCATTCTAGCGAAGTTGAGTATGGCCTTGAGTCCAAGCTCCTTAATGTCCTGGGAGTCCAAAGTGATGGACCCCAGTATAGTCTGCCTGTAGTAGCTAAGAGCCTTGCAGCGACAGAGAACGTACGCCGAAGTCTCTTCTTCTACCCCGCAGCGCTCTCGCAAGGGTTCCTCAGCCTCTCTGAATTGCAACACAAGGCTCGAAGTAATCTTACAGGCACTTAGTGCCTTCATTGCAGCTTGGCTGTCGGAGAAGATTGTCCACCCCTCTCCTAAGTGAGGGTTGCACAAGCCAGAATCGCAACGATTTCCGCTTGGGAAATCGTAATGTATCCACCAAGAGGCAGAGATAGCCTAGTTCTAGGCCCCGAGACCCCGGCGCCAGAGCCCTCTTCGGTGACCGAGCCATCCGTGTACCAGACTTGCCCACTCACTCCGGTGAGCCTCCGGTAGCCGGCGTCCCAATCGTTGGATACTCCACATTAAACATGCGGTTGAAGCGATACTTAGGGGTAATCACATCGCCCCTGCTCAGAAGGACAGGATCCTCCTTTTGCAGTTCGACCAGGATAGCAGTATGACCCTTGACGGGATTCAAGAAGGCCCAGCTGCCCTGACTCCACAGTCGATGTGCGACTGCTCTCGCCTCTCCGCGGATCACTAGATCCAACGGCGGGAGATCCAGCAGAGCTTCCATTGCACTCAATGGCGTTAGCCGCACTGCGCTTGTAATGCTGATACAGGCCAATCGCTGAATTTTGTTGAATTTGGCCTTATTCGTTACAGTTCCAATGCATGTCGACCAAAACAAGGAGCCGTACAAGAGAGATGAACGCACTATTATCGTGCAGAGCCAATGAACCACGTTGGGTTTGAGTCCCTATCTAACACCAACAATGCGTCTACAAGCCCACAATGAATTGCGAGCCCTGTTAACCTTAAATTCAACGTGCTATCTCCAGTTCAGTTTACAGTCCAGGATAATTCCTAGATATTTTGCTGACTGGGATAGAACTAATCTAGTCCCAAAGAAGGTCGGCAAGACAAGGCCGTCAAACCTTCTTCTCCTAGTGAATAGGATCCGCTCGGTCTTTCCAGTGTTGACAGAAAGATCCACTTCCCTACACCATGATCCCACAGCGCGCAAAGCGCCTTGCATAATCTCAGAGACTGTTCCACAAAAACGACCTCATCAGCATATGCTTGCACGTAGACACCCGCACTGCTTAGCCTAACGAGGAGTTCATTCACCACGAGGCACCACAGTAAGGGTGACAAAACTCCGCCCTGTGGGCAGCCTCGAGCTACGCTGACGCTGCAGCTCGCCTCATTCAGCATAGCTGTTGCTACCCGACGCTCCAGAGTAGGTAGGACCCAATCTACTAAGATTGATCCTACCCCGTGTCTAACCAAGGCATGTCTGATGGAGTCAGTTGTAGTGCAATTAAATGCACCTTCAATTTCCAGAAAGGCCACAAGTGCCATTTCTCGCTCATATAGAGTCTTTTCCAGCCTGCCGACCAGATTGTGTAAGGCCAGATCAGTCGATTTCCTAGCTTGGTATGCAAGCTGATTGGAATGAATGCCACACCTCACCAGCGGGCCATCCCTCAAAAATGTGTCAACTATCCTTTCCAAAGTCTTAAGCACAGAAGATGAAAGGGTAATCGGACGAAAATCCTTCGGGCCAGTTTATCTGGTTCTACCCGCTAGTGATCCTACTTATTCCGCGTCTTTAAACTTTGCGCCGGCTAAGCGGGCATATAACTCAGGTACTATAAAATTAATATCCTTTTGTGTCTGTTTGCTTTGTGAGGCTTAAAAATGAAGCTATTGCCGTTCTGTGTAACTGTTTTATTTGTTCTGGCCAGGTTTAGTGTTTGTGTTTGATGTACGTACACAGCGAATGAAAAGGAAACAAGGGTTTTATGAACTGACTGGCAATTGCTGGGTAGATAAAAGGGATACGTTCAACTACAGTAGTTATTGAAAATGAACAAGTTACAGTAGCTTCGGGTGCTGTTCATACAGGAAGTTTGCCTTACAGTATTTTGGAATTTCGTATGAAATTATATACAAAAACCTTTGCGTACCGGTAGTATGGGAGTAAAATCGTTTTTTGATTAAATATGGTGGGTTGATTCTGAACGTTTGTATTAGAATCAATTTGATACAATAAATGAAGGGATTGGGGCAATAAGGAACCTAAGTCAGATTTGAATCCCCAGAGTCGTCAAGAGTCGCATTACCCTACTCCAAATGGGGCTTCGAAATACTTTAGCACTTTTAACTTGATGCAAGACACAACAAAAATTTCCATATCCGAGCAAAGTAATAACCTGTTAAAGACTAACACTATGAAGTTGTTGAATGCCACACTGTTTTTTGTTAACAAAGGAAACCATTTTGCGGTGGTGTCCTCTACAGACGTGTGTCTCCATTGACCAGCTTCTTAGCAAATTGTTATATTATTTTTTTATTTCGAAGTCGCAACGCATTTTATCAAAAATAATGACCGTTTCTTTTGTTCCAGTTGAGGTGGAAGGCTATGGGCCATACAAGCCAGTGCCCCCTCCCAAGCCGCTGTCTCAACAGCACGACTACCCCCAACAACCCCAACAGCAACAGTCCAGTGGCGGCACCCCGCCCCCCTATAGGATGCCCCCCTATCCTCCATTCGGCGAGCCCCAGATTCCCGGCGCCGCTGGCGTAGGTCCTGTAGAATCCACCATCATTGCGGGGAGTCCCGTAGCTCAGCGCTACCAGCAGGGGCTGCATACGCACTCGAATAAATTTCCGGTAAGCAGTATTGACAAAAAATCTTTTACTACTAATCTTTTACTGTTAATCTCAGCTCGTGATGTATCTTATGTTAAGGCACAGCAAACTAACAAACACTGGCTATGTTTATTCTGAGGGTAACTAACCACAAGACCACGCTAGGTACTGTAACAAATGATGGCGCAGCGCCAGTCTATTTCCCAGTCAGCAAAAGCACACGTCATAATGACGTCGAAATTTGGTGAGAATTCGCCAATTGACGTTGTTGTTCCAAATGTCCACGTCCTTATGACGTCTACTAAATGTCCAGTTGTTTACGGGTACTAAAAGACGTTGTTGTGATTATCCTTTTTAAACTATATCGGGTTTTCCAAATTCGACCCTCACCATTGGGATCTTGGGAAGAGTAAGAGATACGAAGTCGCCTAAATGGGAGCAAAGTTGCGTATTAATTAACAAAATGCCTATTCAAAAGTTTCGAGATCCAAAGTACTTCCGGAGAGAGACGGAAAAACCAAAATCGTTTTAATGTTCCCTGACTCTATTTGAAGTGGGATTTCACAATAAAATGCACATTGACATGTCCTTTTTTCATCACCTACAAGTTGGCATAATTATAATGTCGATATGACGTTACGTCTATTGTCCTCCAGCATCAAGTTTATTTTTTATTATGGATACTATATTGAATTTTGCACAGATGAATATGGTTTTTAATTCTGATTCCAAAGATGCATAATTTGTCACCCATATCATACAGATGACTACAGCGCCATCTATCGATCAAACTATATATAGTAAATAGGGAAACAACTGTGACGAATTCTCATAGATGACGCTACGGTATCTCATTTTATTCCGGATAATTCTTTGGATGAGTAAATATAGCCTTAGGTAGAATACGTTAATCAATGATCTATTTTACTAAACTAGATCCACCGCCATTTTATCGAGCACCACTACATAACGCATTACAGCTTGATACAGCTTGTTGACGCCCACAGCAAGTCTAATACGTTGCAAGCAAGAGCTCATTATCGTAATAACACTGATCACTGATTATCGTAAGGCGGATTGCTAGTCCGACGCGGTGTAGACGTAATCATTACGTATTTTGTTGCGTACCTGTATAATTTATCACATAAATGATTAATAAATTACTCGTCTAATCTAGCATCTTGCAAATCTCAAGTGCTCCTCCCGCGTGGTCTGGTAGCAGTTAATTCTTATATTTTCTTTTACCCCAAGTGACCTTGGTGTGTTTGCACAGAAGCTTCGTGCAATTTTCCGCACAGTGGTTATTATCGGAAGAACGGCTGTTCAGTTTGATTTATGAATTCATAGTGAACGTCTATTTAATGGCAACTGTATTTCATTTTATGATATATCTGTATTCATTAAAGCTTTTGTTGTTTTACTTTAAAAAGTTATTGCTTTTCAGAAATATCCAAAGACTATCTACTGAAACACAAATGGATATATGCATCTAATAACAATGTAACTGGCATTTTGACTATTTTCAGTCATTGAGCTGCTTATTTGATGCTTTCAGCTCATGTCAAAAAATTAAGATTAGCAGATTAAATAGCATTGTAAGTGCATGCATTGGATAAATAATATAAATATCATAGTGAATATGATTCTGTCTTACTGTTGCTCAATCTTGATAGAATCTATCATATACTACCTTTAGTCCATAAGACCCTATTGAGTGCAAAACCAGAGTACCTTCTAAATCAACTACACAAATTTGAAGACGTTAACAACTTAGCAGCAAGAAATAGTCAATCTCTCGTTATATTCCATAACTTTATATCATTATACCAGAAGAGCTTTTCATACGCTGCTGCTAAACATTACAAGTGAGTATCGCATTTACAGTCTAATGATTTTCAAGAAAGAATTGAAGAAACAGGTGAACAGAGGAGTCATGTAACATTTTTTAAATTGCTTTTTTGCATTAAACAAAACTTAAGGAGTGATTATTTCAGTCTGTGATTTTTTTTCTCCATTAAATGATTTTGTTACATGACAGCTTTATCCACTTGTGTCTTCAATTAAAAGCGATGCTTCTTCTATTCAACTGATACTAATGAGATCAATTTTCAAAAATTCTAGAATAAGACTAACTATACGATTTGTCGGCTTATTTCATGAGGGTATTACGAGGGATGTCTTTTAAGTTTTGGATATGGAAACAAAACAACACGGTAGGTAGTCTTAAATGACTATTGTTTTTCGTAGTATTCTCCACGAAGGTTAATACACATCTGCAGGCGCTCGAACCAATTTTCGAAGCACTTATTCCACTCGTTTGCTGGCAGATCCAAAACGGCATTTTTGAATGCGTCAACTGCTTCTTCTGGTGACTGGACCCTTTACCACGCAGTCTGTTTTGAATTTCAGGGAAAGTAAAGAAATCATTAGGACTTAGATCGGGACTATATGGAGGATGGTCCAATAATTCCACGTTTTCTTCCGTTAAATACTGCCTTGTTTTTTAGGCAGTGTGTGAGCTTGCGTTGTCTTGGTGGAAGATGATTCTTCTTTCGGGGTTGATTTTTCGAAGCTCGATGATGACTTTTGGCAAACAAATGGTGGTATATCAATCCGCAGTAACAGTTCTTTGCTCATTAAGAGGAGTTGTTGCAACATGACCCGCTTTTGACACAAATGTCGCGACCATCTTTTTCGAAACACTTCGAGAACGGATGACTTTTGTTGGCTTTTCTTCACCTTGGAACACTCAACTGTCGTTTATTTTCTGGTTCATAACAGTAAATCTACGATTCATCACCACTAACAATGCTGTACACATTTTTTGAGTTTCCGGAATTGAAACGGTCAAGCGTTTTTTGACACTAATTAACCCTGGCTGCTTTCTGCTCTTCAGTCAACAGGTGGGATATCCAACGAGAAACTAATTTTCTTACTCCTAATTCTTCATGTAAATTTTTTTGAATTGAGGTCTTTGAGATCTTCAAGGATGCCTCAATCTCGCGATATGTCACATGTCTATCTTCAATGATGAGTTTGCGCACAGCATCGACGTTTTCCTGGGTGACTGCCGTTTTTGGTGCACCCACCCTGGGATCGTCGCTAAGACTCACCCGTCCACGTTTGAATTCTCCATACCAACAGGAAATTGTCGACTGATGTGGCGCTTCGTTGCCGAAAGCAGACAGTAACTCAGCAAGGCATTCTTGTTGCGATACTTGCCTCTGAAAGTTGTAATAAATTATGGCGCGAAAATGTTCTCGGTTGAGTTCCATTTTTCTAATGACTTGGTGATACTCAAAAATTCACTGTAGTGAGAACGCTGCACGTATTGTTGTGAAACTTTAAATTTAAGTTTACTTAAGATTCAGTACTGACGTTCGATCCGCGCGACCTACTATGTTTCTATATGCAAAACTCAAAAGACATCCCTCGTATAGTTTCATATTGAATGACTTGAAATTTAGATATACTGAGTGACAAAAAAAGGTAAACACCTACGTATGCTTATCCGATTTCAATAATTTTTGGCATATATGTTCAGGGTCCCTTACTAGTTAAATTATTAAATTTTCAGCTTGATTCGTTAACTGACTGCAGAAGCTGGTTCAATAATGTGTTGAGGATCCACGATTTCTTATACACTCATTGACACGCCTGGACATCGTGCTGACAAGGTGGTCGATATCCTGTTGGATATCTCATTCCAGGCTATTGCAACTGCGTGAGTAAGAGCTACTAAAGTCTGTGGAGGGTGTCGCAAATTCAAGAGCCTGCGACCTATCATGTCCCAGATATATTCAATTGGAGAGGTCAGGCGATCGTGGTGGCAAAGGTAAAAGGTTAATGTGATGTTGATCCATGAGGGCTAACGATGCTCTGGCAACATGAGACCTGGCTTTGTCTTACTGAAAAAATGGGTTTTGGATTGTGTTTAGGTATGGAATGAGATGAGGCTCCACTACTCCCTGAATATAACGTCGGGATGTCATATTGTCTGACGAAAATTAGTGGTGATCTGCTACCGTAAGCAATAGCACCCCAATTCCTACGGTGTGGTGAACGTGACGCTCTCTGTCAAATTGTGGGTCACGTCTTTCACCACGTTGCCTTCTCACTCTTGCTCGACCATAGTGCATCCCCAGATAGAAGCGGGATTCGTCACTAAAGACCACCTGATGCCATTCCCGGTCCCACAGAATGTTTTCTCCTCACTAGAGCAAACGGTTACGCGGATGTTCAGCTGTGAGCGGTAGCACTCTAGGCATTTTGAGCAATCACAAAAATGCTTCTCTATAAGCTAGACGAAATTTAACATTTAACTGACACCGTAAATGTACGAAAACTGGATGCTTCTTTATCACCAAACAATACACGCAAAAACCTGACCATTTTATCACTTGTAGTAGCAGTACTCATACGTGGTGTTTACCTTTTTATTGTCACTCACTATATGTATACTTGAAACGCTATTCGGCAATGATCACAAATCCCATGTACTACCTTATCATTGTAGGACTGCATTCTTATTCATGATTGTCAATTTAATTTTTGGCCGAGTTGAAAAATACCTTAAGGTAACACTTCGTAATTTCGATTCTTGATTTGATTTTAGTACCTCACCTGAAATTGCTAAAAAATTGGAATGGTTCGCCTGAAAATTTGACATTTTTCACTCACAATATTATCAGATATATGTATCAAAATTTTAATCAATAGCTTTTCCAAACAAAACTACAACGAATCGTCAGACTCTTATGGTCAAATCAAATACTTTTGCTGCCATATTTAACATTTTTCCAAATTACCCGAAACCGAACTGCTCTGGTAATACCAACTATTTATCCACCTTGATAAAATTGTGTTTCTAGTATTCCCTATAGATTTCCATTGATCTTCAAGATTGTTGTCTACTCTACTTCTCCGACGTGTTAAAAAAACTCTATGGTGCTGTAAACAGAAAAAAATATTCAGATCCTTTTGCGATTCATTTAAGTGAAAATATTCAGCATGGATTTTTTAGAAGTAATATTATTACGCAAAAGAGCAAAATTGCGCCGCACTATAAACTTCGCCCTTCAAAGTTCTTTCAATTATCTGAAGAACTACGATTGGTGGTATGAGAATAAAGAAAGAAGTAAAAGAAATGTAGATTAAGGAATGATATTTCTGTGAACCTGAGTAGTGTTAACAACACGCAAAGCTCAACTATGTCCATTGTTTGTGCATGAATATACTGCTAAATGTTCTCATAGAGTTAACGAACTGCAATAACTGTTTATTTCTGTTTGCGATACAGAAACATGATATTAAAATTGTTAATATAATGAAAGCCTACCCGAATAAAGATCATTCTCATAATACTGTTTTTTCTACTTTCATTCAGTTAGGATTTTAAGATGTGAACTTGGTAAATATCCCATTAAGGTGTAATTACACTGTGAATAATGTTACGTGATTCTTTCTCAAAAGTGAGTTATGTTAAGCACCACTAGATTATAGTTACAGAAATGTTTTTTAAGCTTTATTAGTGAGTCTTAGAATCAGTAGTGAAGTTTTCATTACTATATTTCTGAAGACCTAAATATATTGACTTGTACCCGTAAATAAGAACTATTTAGAATTCTTGCTTGGGTAGATATGCGTTGCTTTCTTTCTACATCATAATATAATAGGTTCACTTAGCTAGCGTGCTGGCAGTAGTTCTTCATTTTGTTAAAATTTCTTTTTAAGATCGAGAGAGAAGTGATTCTGACAGCGACTGACAAGGATTCGAAGATCCCCATACTACAAGACTATAAGAAGAGGAGCAAAAGCACTGTGGTAGCTCCTGACGTACCTCCTAAGCAAATGGCGGCCTGGACGCAAGGGCCTATGCAGAACATGCAGATTTTGCCTGATCAGGTAAACAGATGTGCATTTATTTTTGCTGAGTTGCTACATGATCGTTTTTCAATGAATTTTCTGGTTTTGCCTTCGATCTACTTGGACCAATTCCAGACATTGCGGGCTGACAATAGCAAAAAATTAGCGACGTCTTCTATCATACTGGTTAAGAATGGCAACAACTATACAGGGTGTCCGCAAAGTTGGGGTTTTCCTTTACACGACGTGTAGATCTTGAAAACATAAGCAATTTTTCTTAGTACCATATACACCAATGTCTTAAGGGTACCGAGATAAAGGGCTCTGTAGCATCAAAAATATCTGAATACCGTCCTGTAGCCGCGACCCGCGACATCACCGAGTGGTACAAGGTCACTGGCTCAACCCGACGACAGAACTGGGTCGGGGTCAGTGTGTCAGGTCAGTATGCAACCGTCAACCGACGGTTACGGTCACGCGTGTAGAGGTAAACGAACCCGTATAATCGATTGCGTTTCAAAAAAATAATAATAATGGCACACTCATACACCAATAATGAACTCGTTGATATGTTGTTAATTTATGGCGAATGTCTTCAAAATGCTACAGAGGCTTCGCGAGTGTATTCAGATCGTTATCCTAGACGACATCATCCAAGGCCCCGCAGATTTGTGTACCTGGTCCAGAGAGTCAGGGATACGGGCCATTTGGAGGAATTCCGAGGTGGGCACAGTGGGAGGCCTAGACAACCACGAATGGTGCAAGTTGAGGAAGAACTACTGAATCGCCTAGACGAGAATCCCTCAACAAGCATTAGAGACGTGGCTAGAGAAGTGCAAAATCAAAAACTAAAGTGTGGCAAACGCTGCGTGAAGAGGGGCTGTATCCGTTTCACGTCCAACGTGTACAAGCCCTTCAACCTGACGATTTTCCAGCAAGAGTGCGGTTTTGTGAGGAGTTGTTGCATCAACATGACAATAATCCGGACTTTTTGAAGTGCATATTGGTGACAGACGGATCTACGTTCACGCGTAATGGGGTGAATAACTTTCGCAACACTCATGTTTGGTCAGTAGAAAATCCGCACGCTGTCGTCGGGCACATTTTCAACAAACATTTTCGGTGTATGTTTGGGCTGGCATGGTGAACGGTATGCTCATTGGAGCATTTATTCTCCCAAATCGATTGAACGGGATGCAATACCTAGACTTTTTACGCAACATTTTGCCTTCCTTGTTAGAAGATGTGCCATTAAGTGTAAGACAATCAATGTGGTTTCTACACGATGGTGCACCACCTCATTTTAGACGCGAAGTGCGTGAGTTTTTGAATGAATTATTTCCGAATAGGTGGATCGGACGAAATGAACCCGTAGCGTGGCCTCCGCGATCTCCAGACTTAACACCATGTGACTTTTTTCTTTGGGGAGAAATGAAACGCTTAGTGTACAAAACTGAAGTGCATACGGTTGACGAACTTCGTCTCAGAATTGAACAAGCTGGTGCTTTCTTTCGGGGGAGTGACTCCATTCTCAAAGCCTGCACCGATGCTTGGCTACGTCGTGCACGCACCTGTGTTTTTGAATCAAACGGCGATAACTTCGAACAATACCTATAAAGTACGTTTACCTAAAAACTGAAAACGCGGCAACGCCGTCATATTTGTTACCTCTGTTCGTGGTCTGCACCACCGCTTGCGTTTGCTCGGTAGCGCATCAGCTGATTTCATTTTCTGTTGGAGCGGTATGATTTCGGACAGAGACGTACTTAGCCCTTCTCGTCAACTGGAGAGTGAGTACCTTTGCCTGGTCGCCCTCGTTTCACTACACATTACCTTTGTTATTTCAAGGGTAGTTGTTTCTGAAAAGGACAACCCCAACTTTGCGGACACCCTGTATATGCGGCGAATTTTTTTTCTCATCCATTTTTCAGTGTGAAGTTTTATGAAATTATCTGTTACGGACTCACAAAAATAAAAACGCGAACATTTTACTATTATGATCATTCACATAAATCTCTAAAGAAGTGAAATTCTGTGAAATGTCTTGTCTAAATGAGAGTTCATTTTTCAAAATGATACAAACGGGAACTTTATGATATTCAATTAAAAGCTAGTTATCGGCAAAAATCCTGTATCGCACAGACTGGGCTTGATGAAAGGAACATAATAAGCAAAGTGGCGTCATTCTAAATCCAATACGGTGGCTGTCGCAAAGTGGCAATTTACATTTTTGACGTCAAGTAGGTGGTTGACTCGTGCAAGGAATAACGTGAGTAGGCAGATTAGGATACATTTCGTGAGCGCCTGCAGACTGTGGCCCATACAGGAGAGTGAAACATTCCACCATGCATAGATATCATCCTAAATACAATATGGCGGTTATTGCAACATGATGATTTACATTTTTTACAGTCACTCGGAAGATATGGGTAGCAAATGAAGGGCTTGTTGAGAGAAACATAATAGGCATAGTGACGTCGTTCTTTACAGCGACCCCTATGATATGGGTATCAAAAAAAATAGCTTGATGACAGAAACACAATAAGTATAGTGACGGCATTCCCTATCCAATATGACGACCGCTCCGTGATGGCGCTTATAATTACATGATGTAGGTGCCAAATTAAAGGGCTTTATGAGAGAAACATAACAAACAACACGATGTCATTCCAAATCCAATATGACGTTCGTCGCAAAATGCTTTCAGCTCTAATATACCTCCTGTTGATGTTTCAGTCACACATCAGTCTACGGATCTATACAAGTTTGAACAACTTCCTTCCCAAAAGACTGAACATAACTCTTTAAGTTTAATGAACCATTAGCTATGTGGAATAGTAAACAGAAAATATCTATTATCTCATTATTCAAGTTCATTAAACCCACCAAAATGACTTTTCACGAGAATTTTGTCTGCTCGTTCGACGTCGATAGTGCGCGCATGCATAATATGCTACTAAGAAGTTACCAAGTGACAATGAATGACTTGAATAGTAAGTTATTCATTATTCGTATAAGTCGATCAGATGTATACAGCAATGAGGAGTAGGGATGATTTATCAGTAATATTTTCAGATTACAGATTACAGAAGAACGGGATTGGCCTGCCAGTCTTGCGACCCCCATTTATACTTTCTAAAGCATTGTGTCCTGCCTTTATCCTTTAAACAGACACCTTAGCCTTGGCACAGGGCATTGCATGTAGCTTTCCGCTGTGGGATCTGTGGTTCCTATTATCTGAAACGGTAACGTTGCCGGGCCTTCACCTTGACACAGGAGAAGCACTGCAGTTTCGTAACGTTTTTAGCAGAAACGGCATGTGGCCTCTTCTGCCAAACCCACGACCCCATATGCCGATTTAGATGACAGTGTCCTGTCAGGAAACCCTCATGGCAGCCCTATAGACTCCGAGTAAGTCCTCTGTAAATGCGGGCCTTCGTTCTTTGATGAATCTTTTGCCTACCTTTGCCCCAACTGGCTGTTCCTCCATTACAGGGACTTTTTGTTAGTCCAATCTCTTGTGAACTGTTTAGTGCGTGTTCTCGTCATGCCACAGGACCTATAAATCTCCTTTGTGTCCTTCATGTCCTGGTACCCAGAGTGATGTTGCCTTGCTTCGGTTTCCCAGCTTGTAAGTGTTCACTCAATCCCATACTAGACCGTGTTTGCGATAAACTTAATGCGTTTATGGCTGCCTGGCTGTCTGAGCAGATGGCAATATTTCCAGATTCTAATGCTCTCCTAATGAGTGTTAGCAACTTTTACTTATGTAAGGGTAAGTTGGGTCTTGAGCAAAATCAAATAAATGATAGCATAATATATCAATTATTTATATGTATAATGTTATTCCTGCAAACAATTATCGTAAATCATGTACGTTTCACTTGCAAACAATTTTTCAAATTTCTTTTAGTTCCAGTATTTCGAATTTATTGTTCAACAGATATACATATATCAATAGGATGACAAAGTAGATCTTTTTATTACAGTATCAAATTCTCATAGACGATTTTTTCCTAGGAGTTGTAAAATACGCCATATATTAGCTAAATATGATGCCCCTAGTTACAGATTAAATTGTAACTTTGAGGGTGGACGAAAAACCATAAGCTCTATAGAAGACATCAAATGAGGGATTGTAGGAAATACAATAAAATGAGAACACGTTTTCTGAGCGTTTTCTGTTTATGTTCCATTTTCAACTTTGATACCCGCTAACTTAGACTACTTAGTCGAGCAACTTCGCAAACATTCCAGGCCGCGGCTCGCACTGTGGTCAAAATTAAATTGTAAATTCAGACCAGCCAAAATTGCTTCAGTATACAAAACCGATCAAAATTATTTTTTGGAGTTACAAAATAATTCGAGTAGTCAAAGCAATAATGCTTAAGCTATTTCAAATGATTTACTTCTTTTCTTTGCTCTATTTCTTCCTTCCTTTCTTTCCTTCTTTTTCTTTTCCCCTTATACATGTTTGGTATCTGGGTAGCCAGACCTGACAGACTAACAGACCGATGAGACTTTTAACTAAGAGCAAAGGTCCACTGGACCGCTCTGACAAATAATGACGAATAGTAGTACCCGCTAACTTTAAATTGACATATGCTCGTAGACCGTTGAAACTATCCAGTAATATAGTACGGTCATTTCTATGTCCATTCAAAGACTGAGCCAATTTTGTAATAAACATGTATGTTGCTTAGCGCGGGCCATATATGCTCACTTAACGCCCTAGATTCAATGATAGCTACGAATTATAATGTACTATTTATTCTTTGTGGATGACATATCTAACCAGCATGATAGTGCACCTGTTAACATGAGTAATATTTTACAGTTGAAATTATTGTTGAATTCAACCATATTTATCACCCGCAAGCATTAATTGCAATTTTTTAAAAACGTTCATATAAATGTATAACCTTCATGTCTTCATTAAAAGTAAGCCGGTGTAGAAAGAACTGCGCTTTTCCCTGTATACCCTTGATATAATTAAATTGTCTCATACTGGTTGCAAAAGATATTGGGCTGTCATTTCT